CCTTCACCACCTCCGGGCTGCGGTCCCGCCCCCTCCCGCGGATCGGACAGACCTGGCCACGCCCCCAGAACGCCAGCCCGCAGCCAATGAGCCTCTAGACCCGGGCTGTGAGCCGCATCGGCCAATCCAGCCTTTGAGAACGCCTTGAATCTCCGGGCAAGTTAAGTTTATCACCGAGGCTCGGAACTGCGAGGAGATGGCGGGTTAGTTAGGTAGTGATGTAGGCGGGAGTGCAGTTTGCGCCACTCCGCCAATAAGAGGAAGAGGGTGTGTTATATGCAAATAACATTGACCGGCCTGGCTCGGTGCAAGCCACGCCCCCCGAGTTCTCTGCAGAAATGGTGAGAAGAGGTAAATAGCTAGAAAGCTAGAGCTCGCTAGAGGGTCTAAGACTGGGCTAAACACTTTCTGATATCCTGAATAAGGGAGTGTAGGGTACAGACCGAAACGTTCCTTCCATCAAAACTGATTAGGCTTTCAGGCAAAATCTAAGCTTAGCTATAAAGACTGCACTCTTATAGGACTTTTTGCATCCAGGGATCTCAAAGAACTTTACACGTCATTTATTGTTAGGCTTGTTGTGCAAAAGACGTTACCTGAAGCTTGACATTGGGATGGAGGTAGATATTTGAGGCAGATATATACAATTAACCGAGTTCTCGGGGGCAGACACATCTATGGTTAAACGGTTTCCTTTATCTGAAGCACCTTCTTGCAGTCTTCTCAGCAATGAAAGTGCGGTTTGTCCAGCACTAAAGGCCCAGAGAGGTTTTGTCTTCTTACCCCAAAGTCCTTTCTGAGGCAGCTGATCATATATGCCAGAGCACGGAGCTCTGCTTGCCAAGAAAGGTTCAGAGAGCAAATTGCCCTTCAAAACGATTGGGCTGGACCTCCCTCTTCCGAAGCTAAAAACAGAAGTCAGGGTTTTTGCGTCCGCGTTCAGGGGAGAGAAGCAGATACAGTATAATTGACGGGGTACAAGGGAACAGTAAAGAGGGGAGTCAGGTACCCAGAGGGAGACAGCGTGCGGGTGGAACGAGGATTGCAGACGCTAGACGCCCGAAACCTGCTCCCCAGTGAGAACAAAGACAGGCGCGGAGCTAGAACCTGATTGGTGCCGGGCACTCATCGGTGTCCGCGGGGCCCCGGAGATAACTTGCTTAGCCCAGTGCCTCGGAGAGCCTTGCTCCCTGGAGCCGCAGCTCCCCACGCGGTCTTGGCGCAACCACACAGGACTGTGCATTATGACATCACCTGTTTTCGCTTTTTGGAGCCTGATCAGCGTTCTCTGCTTCTCCTTTTTTAAAGGTCTCTCTAGTGTACCAGGATTTGTGAAGGCCTACACTTCACAGAATTTATCTGTGATGATTTAAACAACCATCCCACCGGTTTGCATTTGTTTTTCTTTTTAATTAAAAAAAAAAAAGACCTACTCTGATTTCCTTAGGGATTTAGTATACTGTTGTGATGCAAAGTCAGGAAGGTACACTTGGAGGAGCTAGCAAGTTTAGCATATCAAAGCTTTAGGCCAAATTGTGCAGCTAAAACTGCCAATCTCTTGCGTTCACTGCTGTCTCCACTCTGTTCCTTTTAGAGATCAACATGTTAAACCAGGTCTACACAAGGAACAAAGGAAATGGAAATCTGCCGGTGTCAGATTTAAGTAGATCAAATTAGACTGGAAACCCTCCAAGTAGTCTAAGTTATGTGGCTGGGTAAATGTGGAGATCTGTACAGTTAGTGATAACTAAAAGTTGCCAGGTGCTGTGTAGACATAATCTAGACTAGCAGTGGTGTAGGAAAGGTGCTTAATACACAGAAGAAACCATAAAAGCAAGGAAATTCAGCAAAGGGAGAAATTGCCACATGCCTTTCAATGCAGAGAACCAAGAAATCTAGGCAAAAAATCACCAGGCATGGTTTTTCTAAAAACTAAAATACATATCCATCGCCATTTAGTGATAAATGTCTTAGGAAATTAGTTTCTGTCTTTTTACACAACATTTACGAGAATACATTTTATTTAGTTATTTTTTGTTAATAAAGTACATGTGTGTAGTACATAATTTTCTATCCTTGTGGGAAGTTGGTACATGTACACAACACATTGTGATTCCTTTTTTAAAATCCCGTTTCCCCTTTCTCCCTCCCCCATCTCTTGATCCCCTTCTTTTATTTTTTTTCTTGTGCATTTTCCCAGTACATAATGTTTACAATACTTATGGTGTTTGTAAATGTTCATAACACATCCCATTTCCTTTTTTCATCCTTTGTTCCCCACCCCCCCTTCCCTCCAACTCTTGATCCACTTTCCCTTTGAGAACCATCTATCCCCCTACTTTGTATTATCTATCTTTTATTTTGCTCTTTCTTTTTACTCTGGGTTTCTCATGAAAGAGAAAAACCATGTGATATTTAACATTGTGTGTTTGATTTATTTCACTTAACATTGCTGTCTCAAGGTACATCCATTTTCTTATAAATGACTCGTTTATCTTTCTTTATAACAGAATAGTACTCCATTGTGTGTACATCTCGTAATTTCTTTATCCCTTCATCTGTTGACAGGCATATGGGTTGGGATTGTATTAAATCTGTATATCAATTTTAGAAGTCTGGCCATTTTGACTATATTGGTTCTGCCTCTCCAGGAACAGGGGATATGTTTCCATTTTCTGATGTCCTCTTCAATTTTCTGTTTCAGGGTAGTGTAGTTCTCATTATTGAAGTTTTTTACTTCCTTAGTTTAATTCCTAAATATTTAATTTCCTTGGTGCTATTGTGCATCGTATTTTCCCCCTGATTTCTTATTGGATTCATTATTAGTGTAGAGGAATGCTATTGATTTTTGTGTGTTGATTTTGTATCTTGCTAATTACTGAGTTTGGTTAATTCTAAGAGTCTTCTGTTGGATTTTTTTTTGGGGGGATCTTTTATATAAAAGATCATATCATCTGCAAATAACTACAATCTGTCTTCCTTTCCTGTACAGATTCATTTTATTTCTTTTCTTGCCTAATTACTCTTGTTTGTGTTTCAAGTACTATGTTGAACAGGAATGGTGATAAAAGATATTTCTTTTTCCTGATTTTATTTTTTTTTAAATTTTTTGGTACTGGGGATTGAACTCGGGTCCTTGCACTTGCAAGGCAGGCCACCAAACTGCTGAGCTAAATCCCTGGCCCTTTTTCCTGATTTTAAAGGGAAAGTTTTCAGTGTCCCCTCACTTAAAATGATGTTGGCAGTACTTTTGTCATAAGTGGCCTTTATCAGATTGAGATAAGGTCCTTCTATACCTATTTTCTTAAGTATTTTTTATCATGAAAGGATGTTGGATTTTGTCAAAGTTTTTTTCGGTATCTATTAAGGTAATCATGCTATCTTTGTTCTTGCTTCTATTTATGTGATGTATTACATTTATTAATTTGCATGCACCGAAACATTTTTGCATCCTTGAGGTGAACCCTACTTGTTCAAAGGTTTTGTTTAATTCTCATATTTCTTTGTTGATTTCTTGTCTAATTTGATCTATTTGTGATAGTAGAGTATTGAGGTTCTCCACTATAATTGTGTTTATGTCTTTGTGATCTTTCGTGTCCGGCAGTACTTGTTTTATGGGGTTGGGTGCACTGTTGTTCAGTGATATATGTGAATAATTGTTACCTCTTCCTATTTCCTTAACCTATATGTAGTGAACTTCCTTGCCTCTTTTGATCAATTTTGGCTTGAACTACACATTGTTTGAATGTAAGATAGCTACACCTGCTCTTTTTCAGATACTTATTGCATAGAATATTGTTTTTCTATCCATCTTTGATTTTAGTCTATGAAGGGGGTAAACTGTGTTTCTTATATACAGTATACTGCTTGTTGGATTTTCTTTCTTGGTCCATTCTGTTAGTCTGTGTCTTTTGTTGGGGGAATTGAGAACATTAACTTTGAGAGTTATTACTGACAGCATTGACTTATTTCTACCATTGCCGTACTTTCATGTTGTTGACTCCCTATCTTTCCCTTCCACTTAATTGCTCACCCTATCTGGTGTATTTATTAAATTACATTTCTTGTCATTATTCACTTCATTGTCTCTTCTTAAGGTATCCTTGAGAACTTTTTAGAGTGCTGGTTTGGTGGTCATGAATTTCTTTAGGAGTTCTTTATCATCAAAATATCTTGTTTCTCCATCAATTTTAAGATTGTTTTACAAGATGTCAGCCTGGGTTGGAAATTATTTTCTTTTAGAGCTTGAAACACTTCATTCCAAGGTCTGCTGGCCTTTAAGGTTTGTGTTGAGAAGTCTTCTATAATTCTAATGGATTTTCCTCTATAAGTGATTTGTTGATATTCTTTACCTGCTTTTAAGATTCTGTTCTTGTGTTGGACTGCCAGGATTTTTATTATGATGTGCCGTGGAGAAGTTCTTTTCTGGTCACAGCTATGTGGGGTTCTATATGCCTTGCTTATCTGCATATTAAATTCTTTTATCTTATTTGAAAAGTTTTCAGCTATTATCTCAGTCAACAAGTTTTTTATGCCATTTGTGCTATCTTCTGATTTTTCACTATTTTCAATCGACCTTAGATTAAAATTTGCATCATCTAGGAGATGTTGAACTCATTTCTCATGTTCTTGCGTTGTTTTTTATGTCTCTTATTAATTGGTCACTGAAAACAGCACTGCAAAAAATGAAAAATAGGGCCAGGGATTTAGCTCAGTGGTGCCGCCACCTGCCTTACAAGTGCAGGGTCCCAAGTTTGATTGCTGATACCATAAAAAAAAAAAGGAAAAAATATTAATTAGCATTTTGGAGACTGAGGCAGAAGGATCATAAGTTTCAGGCCACCCCAGACTACATCATGAGAACCTATCTCAAAATAAGCAAACAAAAAATTGAAACAAAGAAGAAAATTAGTTAAATAAATAAAAATAAATTTGTCATCTCCTGATTATAGCAAAAGTTGAGCAAAGGGCTCAAGTACAAAGAATACCATAATGTATAACAATATAAGTACCCTGACATAAATGGACACACACATATTTCTCAATGGGGAGGACAGCTGTCAACCTATAAAGGGACTACTATGTTCTCTGCTAAATCCGCTTTATCCTAATAAATCACACGTCCCTTATTGTTGCTTTAGAATAAAGAGGCCACGGGCCATGGCAACAGTGGAAGGGCAAGGCACCATGGTAGACACATTGAGTGTGTTTTCTTTGGTGCTCAGTATCGTGTTGAGGCAAAGAGCCCCGGTTTTAAAATCAGACATGAATTTAAGTATTAACTTGTCCTTTTCCAGATATATGGCCTTGGGCAGTTTACTAAGTGTGTTGGTATGTCAGCTTCCTCAACT